TGTGCTTTGAGTTGGAGCTGCTGCTGTCCCCAGCTCTGTAAGGCAGCTCTCTCCTTGTCGCTGCATCCTTGGGCTCAATTATGAGACCCTTCCCAGGCGGAGACCTGTGCATACAGCCAGGTTTGTGCTGACACAAGGTTTATGTCCTGTTTGATATGTCAAGAAGTAATTCCAGTCATTCCTTGTGACTGGAACTTCTCCATATGTTCTCATTTCACAGTGAAACACAAAAGTTACTGGCATCACTTGTACTGATGTGATGGACTTGGGGGATTTGATATTAGTTTGAATTGAAAACGAGCCATTAAAATTACTGTAGTTTTAATTGCTGCCATGTGTTGCCAGTCACAAGTTGTGGTTAATTTAAATCCCTCCACCCCCTCCCAGCACAACCCATTTCCTCTGGCTCCCCTGAGCCACTTCTCATTCAAACGCTGAGGGGTTGTGGTGGCCCATTGCAGCTCTGCCGTTCAGCGGACCCCCACTTTTGTGTGGCTGCACCACAGCTGCTGGTGCTGAGGAGTAAGCAGCCATGCCAGAGGAGGACCTGGGAGGCCACCCTTTACAGCCACGGCTGCATGGACAATGTAGAGTGAGTCTGTAATCTGAAAGGAGCTCAGTGATGCAGTGTGTGCTCACATGGATGTTGCTGTGTTCTTACACAGGCAGACTCCAAGCAGTGGCCTCAAGCTTTCAGTAAGATTGATATCTATATCCATATCTAGATATAGATCTGTATCTATAAATCTATCATATCTATATATCTGTATCTATATCCATATCCATACCTATATATCTATGTCTATGTATCTGTATGTCTATATCTGTATGTATCTATATCTAATCTCTCTCTGCCCCCTCATCTCTAGCTAATCTATACCTGTACCTGTATCTATATGTAAAAATGAAAGAAAAACCAATTCTTTTTACCTGTATTCCATGTGCTTTCTGCACAGGGAAGCAGCCTGAGCTCATGTGTCCATAGGCAGCGATTCCTACCCACCTTCAGCATGTAATCTAAAGGAAGGAGGAGACCCCCTCCCCAAAACTGCTCCTTTCCCTCAGTCCCCACCTGCTCAGGAAGAGAACGTTGTCTCCTTAAAAACCGATCCTGACAACTAGGACTCCTCCTCACCAGCACTCCTGCTATTTGTTCTCTTTTTGTTGGAGGGTGGGTCAGAAAGGAAATTCCCTTTCTGCAGTATCTCCTTTGGTCACCAAACCCTGACACAGGAACACCGGGCGCACCGGTGATGCTTCACAAGCCGTGTCCGCTCATGGGCTAAGGCAGGACCCTGGCACGCTGCTGTTTTCCTCTCGGTGGGCATGTCAGTGATCCCGGCTTTCTGCAGGGCAGAGGCTGTGACCCGGCCCGACAGCCGGTGGTGACTGAGGGACAGGCTGACGAGCCTGGGGAGAATGTGCTGAGCCAGCCAGAAACCCTTTCACATGAAGCCAAGCTCAGCCATGTGTTCCCATCCCCAAACGTGACACACGGGGCTCCTCTGGGAAATGATTAATCGGACTTGGTAAAGGGGTAGAAAAGCGCCTGTTGTCAGCGCTCACCCTGCAGAGGGAATGCCAGGGCCGCAGCGCTGCGCTGGAGCCCCTCAGCTCTGCTCTCCTCCTCCAGCCTCCGCGCCCCACAGGACACCAGGCACCGGCCAGCACAGCCCCTCGTGTCCCACCTCTCGATGGCTCTCCAGTGGCTCTGCGCTCTCTCCGCGGCGCTGGGGGTGCGTGGGGTCATCCCCCTCCCCCTCCCCCCCCACCGCAGGTAAGGGCTGGCGGGGGCCGTGCCGCTGCCTAACGCGTGCTCCACACAGGCTCGGGCCGGTGATGAAGGTAGTTTTCCAACTGAAGCTTTGCTTGTGTGTGTGTTACAGCGAGCGGGTGATGCGCAGCCCCGTAATCCGTTGTGGAAGTGTGTTGTGTGTTCAGTGCGTATCTTTCTGAGTAACCTCAAAGGAGCAGAAACTGCCTTTGGTGCCCAGCAAATTTATGGTTTGAGACAGAGTAAATACCTCTGGGGTACATAAATACTCCTGAGCATGGTCCCAGCCAGGCAGACTGTGCTATAGGTGTA